TCATGCCAGGCATGTGTGCATGCATGCCCAAGATCCCCAGAGGAGAATGGAGGAGAAGGATTGCAGCGAGGCCATCCCCCGTGGGGGGTGATTTCTCACTTTCTATCTCTCTGTCTCTGTCATTCTGGCGAGTACACACGGCCTATAGCAACAACCTCTCCCCCTCAAAAAAAATTTGTGATCATTTTTGTTTATATAGCATCCTCCTCTCTTTCAGTTAATCTTGTGGATATTGCTTACTCATTTTTTTTTTTTTTAATGAATAGGGGACATTTGTGCTTGGTGAGAGAAATATGGAGATATGCCAAGAAAGAGGGAGGGGAAGAAAGTAAACTCCTAAAGCTACATGACCTATGCAATCCCTTCTCCTCCAACTTTTCATCTGGTCAGGACCTTGAGCTTCCATGCTCATGTGCCCCGTGTGTTTTTCAAGCCACCAGCAACCAGGATTCCAACTGTAATCTTAGAATCAGCCATGTTGGGTGCAACTCTCTCAACCACTAAGCTAATAGGGTGATCCATTATTGTTCATTTAGTAGAAGAAGAGAGTACCACACAGAGATTGAGGGCATGAGTACTGAAGGTGAGTTTTGAATCCCAACTCAGATTTCAGAGAAATCTAGATCAGTCATGGCTTTGAACAAATGAGGCAACTTTCGCCCCTTTGCACAACTTGGCTCACACAGTTTGGACTGAGTTTCATGCTCAGATGAAAGCCAGGGTATGTAGAGTAGCTCTGCCCTAGCCACTGTCTTTAGTTGCATTCCCTAAAAGTGGAACCTGAGGTGGAGATTGCAGTGCATAAGGTTTCTTGAGAGAGTGCTCATAGGAGAAGGGGAGTTGAGGGGAGCAGGGGAGTACTGCAGGGAAAAATCAGAATAAAGATCTGGTTTCAGTGGAGCATTGCTTCAGCCTGATCCCACGGAGAAAAGCTTGAGCCAGAACTGTATTTCAGAACTGAGCCCACTTTGGGGCTATTAACAAAGAATCCTAGATAATCCTATTTTCCCCTTTAAACATTTGCGATTACTGAGGTTTACAGGGGTAACTCATTTACTAGGTATCACACTGTTAGCAAATAAACAGTTCTAATCTAAATCATCTTCATTCCAAATCGCAAGGCTAGAACCCTCCAAAAGTAGGTATTTCCAGCCCGAGAAATAATTAAAATTGATATTCCAACTTGATATGGCAGATTCAATGTAGACTAAAAAGGACACAAGTGTATGTATCTATCCAAAGGACAGAAGAATTCTTCATTGGAAAAGTGCTTGCACATCGATGTTTATTGCAGCACTGTATGTGCCATAAAAGAGCTAAAGTGAGAGAGAGAAATCATCCCCTATGAGGTCTGGTCATGTTGTAATCCTATTCTTCCATTTCTCCATCGCATCAGGATCTGAGGCACATATGCGCATGTGCGAGGAATGTTTTTCAAACCACTGAGGCTAGGACTTGAACTGCGGTTAGTGTTGTGGGATCCGATTTACTACAAACAGCGTTTAACCACCATGCCATGGGGTAGCATGCCAGTGTCTTATTTCAAAGGAATTTTTAGAAAGCTTTTGCCTATATCTCTAAAGGCTTACTGAAATGTACTCCATGGTGCTTGGAGGCCCAATACTGAGTTGGAAAAGTAGAGTTCTGTGTTAACCATGTCATCTGGCAGTACTCAAAGAATATCTGGGATCTAGATTTCTGAAAAATACTAGAGGCTTAACCTGATCAATTTGAAGTGTTTATCCCATTCCACTCTATACTAAACACAGGTACAATCACAGTCAGGGGAGGGTAACATCTCTCTTCATTACCTTCCTCAGAGCCTTAGCTACATCCTTATTCCTCAGAGTAGTAAGTGTAGAGGAGAGGGGCCTAGAGAAGGACATTTGGAGGAGGGCTACAGAGGCAGTACATTGACGGGACGGGGAGGTGTGGTGTAATCTGTTGAAGATATTTTGATCAACTGGACTGGGGAGAAATGTTCACATATTGAAATGTTCACCTCATAAGCTAAACAATGTAATTGAATGTATATAAAAATTAAATTAATCAAAAAAAGAGAAAAAAAATGCTAAGTTTGACAAGCTGTGCAGGATGAAGGTATAGGATGTCGAAACCAGGAAGATGGGGAGGAGGACTAGTAGAATGCTGCTGATGTACACGGTGGTCTCATAAATAGTGATATCACCACACACCAACGGACAAATTCCAAACATCTAATTTAGCACCTGGATCATAATAGGCACTCAATACGTATTTGTTAAATACAACACATAAGAATGATCACAATAGCTGGAAACTCACAAAAAAAGTGGTGAATTGTCCGAGGCCCACAGAAAGGAAAGTGCATCAGGATCATCGTGTGAATTAGGGAGTTCACGGCCGCTCCCAACCACGACATGATGGCCATCATCAGCCCCACCTTTCTGTTCATGAGCACAGAATAACGCAGCGGGTGACAGATGGCAACGTAACGGTCATAGGACATAAAAGCCAGAAGGAGACATTCAGCACCACCCACAGACAAATAGACAAAGTGCTGGGTGGCACAGCCCACAAAGGAGATGGACTTCTTTCCAGACAGGTAGTTGGTATGTATTTTAATATGTACATATACAAATTATATTATTTCTCTTCTAAGTTCTTAATGTAATTCAAAGAAAATTAAAGTTCTATGAATATAACTTACGTGTCATCCATCCTTTCTTCCAAAACAACTTTCTACCACACTTTACTTCCCATGCTTCCAATATGGGCAACACACTCCAATTTTATACTCCAAAATACTCTACTGTGGCATATTTTATATAGGTTTTCATCAATGAAAATAATGAGAAAGGCTCCCTAAATCTTTTTCAAATCATAAATCTTTTCAGAGTGACCCAGAGACAAATAGACAAAGTGCTGGGTGGCACAGCCCACAAAGGAGATGGACTTCTTTCCAGACAGGTAGTTGGTAGCCATCTGGGGGATGATTGTGAAGACGTATATCAGATCCATGAGGGAAAGATGGCTGAGCAGGAAGTACATTGGTCTATGAAGCCGGGGGTCAGCATAGATGAGGAAAATGGTGACAGTGTTGCCACTCACTGCAATGAGGAAGACCACCATGATCAAGGAGAAAAGAAAAAGGTGGGTGAGGGAGTCATCAAAGAGGCCCTCAAGGATGAAGTCTGCCAGGGAGGTCTGATTCCTCTGCCACATCTTCCTTTTTTCAGTCCCTGAGGAAACAGGAAGTGGAGATGAAGGACACCACCGGAAACACTGGGGTCCAGCATACCTGACAAAAACACATTTTGATTGATGAAAGAATTGGTGAAGACTTTTTTTTTTCTAGTTCTAATGATTCAAATGGCCTAATGATTAAAATAACTCTTTTTTTAAAAAGAGAGAATTTAAAATCTGTCTGCATAAACATGATCATCCTGAAGTTCCAAATATCTGATTCTATTCAGCAGCAAACTTCAAGACAAGAGTCTCTTCTCATTAGAGAAAAATTAGTAATAAATATTCATTCTGGAGTGTTTTTTAATTTATCAGTCAGGATTTAACCAGAGAAATGGAACTACTAAGAGTTTTCTACAAATACAATACATATGTAATGAATTTTGTTGTGAAATTGGGCCTTATGCAGCTGAGGAAGCTGGTTAAACAGCGTAAGTAAGGCTGTGACCTTTGTCTCTGATGCTGGAACTTGAAGTTCATGGAGCAGTCTGTTTGAAAGGGAAGATAGAAATAAAAAGGGACGGTTCATAGGCAGGCTGGAATGCACAAGCATGAGTTCTATCCACACAAGGACAGATTGAAAATCCTGTCAGTTCTTGTTGCCTAAGAATAGACAGTGCAGGTATCTTGAAAAAGCTGGAAAAGGGACCAGCAGTTAGCATAATGGCTATGTCGCTGGACTCGCATGTAGTCGACCGCGGTTCAAGTCCCGGACCCGGTGGCTTAAACTCATGCCGGGTGCATGTGTGTGCGTGCCCAAGATCCCGAGAGGAGAATGGAGGAAAAGGGATTGCGGTGTGGCCATCCCCCCTGGGGGGTGATTTCTCGCTTTCTGTCTCTCTGTCTCTCTCTGTCTGTCTGGCGAGCGTACACACCCTATAGCAAAAACTTCTTCGTCTCTTCTCATTAGAGAAAAATTAGTAATAAATATTCATTCTGGAGTGTTTTTTAATTTATCAGTCAGGATTTAACCAGAGAAATGGAACTACTAAGAGTTTTCTACAAATACAATACATATGTAATGAATTTTGTTGTGAAATTGGGCCTTATGCAGTTGAGGAAGCTGGTTAAACAACGTAAGTAAGGCTGTGACCTTTGTCTCTGATGCTGGAACTTGAAGTTCATGGAGCAGTCTGTTTGAAAGGGAAGATAGAAATAAAAAGGGACGGTTCATAGGCAGGCTGTAACTCATGCACAAGCGTGAGTTCTATCCACACGAGGACAGATTAAAAACCCTGTCAGTTTTTGTTGCCTAGGAATAAATGGTGCTGGTGTCTTGCAGAAGTTGAGACCCTTCTAATGAAGCTGAATGCACACACCTGGTTCAAAAATCAGAGAAGGGGAGGAGGATCCAAAGGAAGGTACAGCCATTGCAAACCTAGCTGCTGCTTTACATGATGAGGTGAGTCAGCAGACCAGCCACGATGTGTGTAAGCTGCACCGTGGCTGCTTTCCCTGTGCCCCCAGGTCTCCCAAGAATCTTCCCTGTCACCCACCATAACTAGAAATACAAAAAATGGAAATTCGAGGAAATGTTGTTCATCTTACCCAAGCTTACCTATTACGAAGCCACTAGAGTTCATTATTCTCCATTTGTCATACATACACGTTGCCTGAAGCTATGTTCAATTCCAAATAAAGGCAACAACTCATTTGCCCACATGATACAACCACCATGAATACAGCTAAACACAGGCTAGTCCTTTCTCCAGAAGCCAATGCAATATTTTTGATCTTTGGGTGCTGGTCATTCTTTTCTGATTCATATACTCTATGTATCCTGAAGCTTAAACCAAAAATATTATTGTTAATGGATGTGCAAGATAGATACATAAAAACCAGGAAGAAAGGCCCACCACTATTACATACAGAAGGGATCATCCTATCCAGGTGCCACACCATTCTTTGGATGTCAGTAGCCCCCTTTTCCCAGTCTTCCTTGTCATTGTCTCATAGACCCATGAGCAAAGCATCCATGGCAGCAGGGACAAACATCGACTACGTGGGAGTCCAGCGACATAGCCATTACGCTAACTGCTGGTTCCCGGTGCTGGTCATTCTTTTCTGATTCATATATTCTATGTATCTTGAAGCTTAAACCAAAAATATTAGGTTACTATTAACGTATGTGCAAGACAGACACATGAAAACCAGGAAAAAAGGCCCACTACTTTTATCTACAGAATGAATCATCCTAGCCAGGTGCCACACCGTTCTTTGGATGTCAGTAGCCCCCTTTTCCCAGTCTTTCTTGTCATTGTCTCATAGACCCAGGAGTATGTGTCAATGGTGAGTGAAGCACACAGGCGCTCATGGGAGAGCAGATTCTAGGTCTTGGCAAAGTAGCAAGCTGACAATAGAGATCTATTTTTATATTTTTTAAGGAAGGTGTGGGGTGGGGTTAGCCAAGGTCCATCACTGTTTTTTTGCACCCTCTCCCCATAGATTGTCAGCTGTAAGTGAAACTCCTAGTGAAAAAGAGGGGAGCCCTATGCTAGGAGTCCCCATAAACATGTATTATAATTCTTTGTATATAGAAAAAAAATACTATAAAGTTTAACTTTACTCTTAAAAAAGAAAAAATGAGCCCAGGTTCGTGGACTTCACCCTTCTTACCATAGGTCCTCCATCATCCTGAAACAATGGGCTTAGTAAAACAGTGACTGTCTTCAAAAACACTTACAGCAACTTCTAGATGACAAACCCTTACATTGCTGGGGTGATGTCCCCTGAGACGTAGTATATACTTTAAATCGGAATCAAATTTATTGTGCTCTTTCTTCGATAGCAAAGATTCATGGCATCTGGAATCAAGGCATACAAATGAAAATAAGTCCCTTCATTATAAAAAGCCACCATAGGGACCAGCAGATGGCATAATGGTTACATCACTGGACTCTCATATGGTCAACTGTGGTTCAAGTCTTGGACCCAGAGGCTTTAAATTCATTCCTGGCACATGTGCGTGTGTGCCCAAAATTATGAGAGGAAAATGGAGTAGAAGAAATTGCAGCATGGCCATCTCCCTGGGGGATGATTTCTCACTTTCTGTCTCTCTGTTTCTCTCCATCTCTCAGACAAGTAAAAATGCCCTGTAAGAAAAATCTCTATAATAATAATATTTTTAAAAAAGTAATTCTAAAAATAAAATAAAAGACAAGAAGAAGCCACCATATTATATACCTGAAATAAACAAGATATGCCTTTGGCAGATATGAGAGTCTTCAGGCTATGGATAAGACTAATAAAGCTGGATCTGGGAACAGTAGGTAGTATGCTGGTTAAGATGCTGGACTCTTACATGGCCAACCACAGTTCCAGTCCTGGACCTGGTAGCTCTTTCTTTTTCACTTTCCCTTTCTCTTTCTCTCTGGCCAAATTTTTTAAAAATAATAATAATAAATAAAATAATTATTTAAAGAAACTGAGCTCGGTGCCGGCAGGTGGCGTGGTGGTTAAAGACACTGGACTCCCACATGGCTGACCACAGTCCAAGTCTTGGACCTGGCAGATTGCTTTCTCACTTTCTCTCTCTGTGCCTTTCTCTCGGCAAATTAAAAACAAATAATAATAACAAATAAAGTTAAATAAAATCATTATTTTTTTAAAAAATAAGAAAATTGAGATCAAGGAGCTGGCAAGTGGAGTGGTGGTTAAGGGCACTGGACTCCCACATGGCCAACCATGGTTCGAGTCCTGGACCTGGCAACTTGCTTTCTCACTTTCCCTTTCTCTCTCTCTCTCTCACTCTGTCCCTCTCTGTCAAATTAAAAATAAAAAAATAAAGTTAAATAAAATAATTATTTTAAAGAAAAAGAAAGTTGAGATCAAAACATTAAATCAGACAAATTTCCAATTTTCCCTTTCATCCAATTCTCACATGAATACTAATTAAAATGAGACTTTGATTTACAGTTTGATTTTTAAATTCAAGAACAAAATCTAATTCAATTCCTCAAATATTCCTCTAAGCTTCTTTGTGCTTTTTCTCTTAAATGCTTTTCCATACTTTCATACATTCCTAGATTGCTGACTTTTTAAAGAAAAGAATTCCAGGCTGGCGGTTGTTAGGACTCTGGACACTCCCACATGGTCAACCATGGTTTGAGTCCCAGACCTGGTGGCTTGATTTTTGCTTTCCCTCTCTTTTTTTTTTTTTTCTCTCTCTCTGTATCTCTCTCTGGTCAAATTAAAATACATAAATGAATAAATAAAAAAGAAAAGAAAAAATAGAAAAGAAGAGAACATAATTCAGAACTGAAAACAATCTTCAAGGTGTAATTGAGCCAGTAATAAAAAGTTCGTTTTTTATTCTCTTTCACTGCTAAAGCAGCCTAGGGTCTCGTCTTTCTGGCTGTCACCTTACACTGTTATTTCATACTCAGCTTCTTGAGGACTAAGAGCCCAACCACCCCGATGCTTCTCTGGATCACTCCAACATAGACAAGACATCCACACACTTCCCTTTTACTTCAAAGTTCATGTACTCTCTTTCCTTGGTGCTATCATTCTCTTAAAATTTCTGTACTGGTTTTCATCATCTGATTCCTCCTTACACAACTGCCATTATAATTTCCCATGTGATTTGTGGCCCTCCAGTAACTGTTTATCCTCTGTCTTCTCAGAAAGCTTTCCTCGTGCACTGACCAAATATCACCCTCAGACTTAAGAGATTAGTTGACAGTGTCTACGTTTAATTACGTTTTCCCAGATACCTAAAGCCTAAATACCTAAAGTTTATGCTACACTTAATACTAGCATAACCATCAGTTTATCTTACTTTATCTTACCTGGAATTTGATCTTCAGAGATTTGTGAGCAGAACAAGTATAGACGTGAAATAGAGAGGGCAGGATAGTCCACATCGATTCAATGTGTGCGTCAGTGTAGTTTGAGCAAAAGAAGCGTCTTCTGAGGTGCTCATTAGACTTCTCTCATTCTAGAAATTTCCATTTACTGGTGGAAAGACACAGAACATATTGCCCTGACATAGTTACCGCTGTTCGTGCTAATCACTCTG